ATTAAAGACATTAATTATGATGACAAAAGGTTAAAACACAAAAAGGGACATAAAAACTTATAAAGTGTAACAAAGTCTCACTTTTCCGAATACCCGTGAAAATTAATAAAACTAGTATTAGACGACGCGTGATTCTGCTCAATTATAAGAATCAAAAGTTTTTGTCTTCTACGTTTATTATTAATTCAATAAAGAAAATTCTTTTACATACAAGTTGAAAGAGAAAAAGTTTTTTAAAAATGAAAAAACACCCTTATTTGAATCACCATTTGGGTATCAACAAACACTCAAGAGATTTGAATAAATATACAAGATTTTTAAAAAATGTTTTAATTAATCACAGAAAGATAGACACACACTTACACACAAAAAATACCTAGGAACAAGTCGTGAGTTCAACAACTCAGACTACGTTGGGCAAAAATTCTCGGAGAGAGGCGTGAGAGATATCTCGGCTATTCAAAGTAAAAATCCCTGGAACAACGTGTAACAAACACTACTTAAGACATATTATTACTCAATACCGCGTATAATCTTTTTGACTAATTATAAACGGAAAAATAAAGAATAATTTAATTTTTACGATATTGCACTTTATTGTTTGAAGCCTCAAACCGCATTCCCTTATGGGGTTAACCACATCTAATATCTCCTTGTGTACGGTTACTTTTTTAAGAAACTGAAAGATAATAAAATAACTTAATTAACAGACAATGGAGTCTTGGACTTCACTTATCTATATAAGATTATATCTTATAAATTTAGAAAATATAATTTTTATAAATAATCATTGATTCAAGTGAATTTTTTTGATAGAAATTGTTTAAAAATATCATATATAAGATAATATTAATTATATTTTATAAATGGTCAAAAATAATAAAATTGATTTTTTTATGAGAAAGTTTTGACACTGTCGAAAATTTATTAGTTTAAAACAAGCACGATCGCTCTTAATGTGAAGTCCTTAAATATATAATAAACATTAAAATGTAATATAAGATGATACGACTTACGTCGCAAAAATGTTGTCGACACTGGTTTTGAGGGTAGAGATCCGTGGGCCGTTTATTAAATGTGCGACAACAGGTTATTTTAACAAAAAAAATAAAACAAACCAAAAAGATGAACACAATAATAATAATCTTCGCATAATATCGTGGCACTTTCGCTGGCGTCGACGACACGATGTCCGTCGTGATACTTGGGCGACAAAAGGTTAGCAGCGTTGTAGGGGACGGTACGCGGGTGCGATTCGGTTGGTCGACGTCGCTTTCACAACGGGAGGAAGACTCTCCCCGTGTCATTTGCGGCGGGTCGTCGTCGGCCGTGCGGCACTTGCTGGACTTTGCACCGTAGCGTATGACACGCGGTGTTGGTCAGTCAAATACGCATAAAATAAGGCGACGGCTGACAAAAGTGGCACGAGTCATCGTGTATAACGAAGCGCGCGGGCCGTGTCAAGGATTTTAACTGAACAACTTAATATAAGTTATTGTTTGTAAAGGCATATGACAACGCGAAAAATATCTGATATTTAATACTTATTATCTGATTATTGCATATTTATCAGTCTAGGGAGTTATTCTTTCTGATAAGAAATATAAATAAAAATCCGTCCCTCATATCCAAAAGCTAGAGGATAATTTTTTATAGATTATAGTTGATTTGCATGATTAATGCTAATTTCTCAATTCATGATACAAAGTCACAAATTCTATTGATATGTATAATAAATAAACGAAATATATTTTATGAAATTACATTATTAGAAAATTATAACACTGAATTAATGACTATTACAATTATTATAATATTAACAAAGATTGATGTAGGATTAATTTATAGCAACTTTTAGTTGTGAATTTACAGGGTTATTGGGACTCACGCAAATACGTAATCTAAATGGTTTTTCATTAATATAAATTTATGGTAACGGGCGGATAAATCGCCCCTCTATTCTACATTCTGAAAGTTGTTTTGACCCCATAACAAATTTTAAAATACGTTACTATAAACTTTTTCGTTGTTTTTTAGGTATGGTGCTACTTTTGTTTCTTTGATGAATTCACTGAAGTATTATTTTATTATTTGGTTATTAATGAAATGAGTCTTTAATGAATTTAACAACTAAAAAAAAAAATTAAGAATTATTTACTGTAACGTTATCCCTCATGGAAATCTAGGCAATGATCAAATTATTTACTAAACATTGTACTTTTAGATGGACATTTGAAAAAAAAATTATTTTTCATAATATACATTCCTTTGTTCACTCCCACAGAAAATTATTTTTGAGTAAGTCCGTGTTTGGTAAACTGATTTACTTATGTGTAAATAATTACAATGTCCTTTTTTTGCGTCGAATTTGGAACGCACTATCATAATAATATCATAATTATCCATTTATTCAAAATATATAGTTAATTAAAATATTAATATTTCTAAGCAGTCTTTTTGTAGTTTGATTTTATTTAGAATTTTAGACATTTTCAAAACATTTTCTATTAACTACGCAAAAATGTTTACCAACTGCACAAATAATGTTAAACTTCAATCTAAATTATAGCCTGTATAAACTGTTATTGTTATCCAATATACTAAAATTAGAAGAACTTAAATACACTTTTTGAATAAATATGTTTGGTCCAAAGGTAAGTCGTTTGCCAAAGACATCTTAGGCACCTTACTTTTACACTTAATAATAAATATAAAAATAATTTATTATATAAATAATAAATATATAAAGACGACATTATACTCGACGCCGGCTTAGAAAATATTTTAAACATAAAATAAACGGTTACTAAAGCAATGTTTTAAAAATATATTACTAAAGAAATATTTTTCTTTTAATGTTAATTACATCTGATTAAAACATAGCAATATTACGAAATATTAAAAAAATATGTAATTTAAATAAAATATATTTATAAACTATTTATTTTACGCAATAAACATTTCTAATCCAATACATTGCGTTAGACATGTTAAAATGTTTTTTAATGATTTAGAAACATTTTGGCACTGCTTAGGTTAAGTATATTTCTAGAACATAAGAATTTTGGCCAAAGATTTTTCCTAAGGTACTAATAAATTCTGGAATCATGTAAGCATTGGGATCAATGTAAGAATTATCTGGTAATATTTTCACAATATTTTCGATTAGAATTTAATACTGTCATAACATTCCAAGTATGTAAAATTATTATCTGAGCAAACTTAATAGCCCGTAATTAACGGCAGATCTGTAGCACTATCTTAATCGAAATAAAGTTGAAACTCATAGACGACCATGGTACAATGTGATTATGGTTAAGGTTAAGGTTCTTAAAGATGTTAACATTGTCAAGGATAGTATATCTGAGTATACCAGTCTGATCATTTTGGTTATATAAAAACTAGGGACTACCGAATATGTGGTAATAATTGAGCGTTCAATAAAAAGACAGTTAGCAAACAAATATGCACTCCCACGGGTCAATGAACAATTAGATAGATTGTATGGTAATGTATATTTTAAGAAAACTGAATAGTAACAATACAATATTTTGTCTTAGCCTAATATTATATTGTTGGGGAAGGGATGGGTGGTAGAATGGAGTCAGAGGGAATCAGACTGGGAGTAGGTAACAAAGTTGTGACTAGAGTGCGCTACATAATTAGTACTAAACTAAACACTTGAAATGAGCATATACGCAAGAATGTAATGTAAATTTTTACCGAGATTAATTTATTTTATTAGCAATAATTTGCATTTCTTAAGGACTCCCTAAGACAGCTGCCCCATGTAGCCGCTTATGCAGATACTCCACTAATTACGGTTGATGAGTATACACAGTGTGGATAGATCTAACTGACAACTCCAACTTATGATACAATTATTATTTTTCTATAAATTTTTTTTTAACATTTTTTTGATTTCTTATACTAAATTAAAAAATATTTATATCTCTAATTCAATATAACACCGTTTATTGTTTTAAAATGTAAAAACAGAATTAAACTTCACAAACACAGTATGAATTTTTAATTAACAAGAAAAACTAGAAATAAAATATATGGATGTTAGCTGAGTGTTCATTACAGAAACAAATTAAGTAATTTTATACTTAATATTTAGTCACACAATAGTATCCAAGATAACAGATTTTGGTCACATAATTGAATTAAAACGATTTAGTAGATACTGAAAATTCTAGTAAAATTAATAACTTCTGCGCTTCGCATTGAAAAAAGTGATAGTTAATTTTTACAATTAGTTTTCAAAAAGCTTTGATAATTACTTATAATATTATGGTCACCTGATTTATGAATAGAGAAAACGAACATATACTATAATAATTTCTTAAATTTGTCAAAAAATAATTTGCGCTTCAAATTTTGATTTTTGTTCAATTATCTAAGTTTTAGTAATTTCTAAATACAACAACTAATTAAAATCCATGGTACGAGCTATTTTATTACCTATTTTAACCTATTTTATTTACAGTCGTGGATAATTTTTGAACAATAAAAATATGCTTGGTATAATTTTATTTTGTTTATTATTTCATTTTTATACAGTTTAAGAAATTCTACAAATATAATATTTGATATAGGCTGAGTGATGCGAGGCGCCAACTATAAAACTATCTATATTACACTCTCTCTTTCTTAAACAAATGAAATAATTTTATTTTTGATATTATATCACACAATTGGTTAGCCATAACAAATTTTATTGAACAAATATGCTCAAATCATTCATTATTTATAAAAAATTATTGGTAAATTAGTAAGAAATATCTATATATTATTGGTTACAAAGTTTAAAACTTCTTTGTCTCTCAATTATTATTATCTAGCATAAAACAATTCAATTGTTTCCACACTGAGTTTTTCAAAGCTCTCTTATGCTTCATATTAATAGGAACAACTTTACATAATTTATTTAACTAAGTACAATTAAGGATTATCTATTCATGACTTTACAGATAATTGAAATAAAACCAATGCGATAAACTGTTATGAGAAATTTTATTTTGGAAACAAAATCATTATAAAATGTATAACAATTTTTATTATGAAATTTATATAAATTGATTTTTTAACTGAAAATATTATAATATTGTTGAATTAATGTTTTATCATATATTTTGAAAATTTTTAAAGTGGAACTGAATCAAGGTTGACGGAATTCAATGGTACTGAACCTTGTTGAGTTTTATCATCTAAAAAAAATAAAGTTTAAATATATGACAAATTTTTAATAAAATTAATTTCATATTTTAAATTCAATTCTTTCTTTTTAACAAATTAATTTTTTATTTCTGAAGCAAAATATAAGACCAAAAAATTGTTTCAAAATAATGTTTAAATTTGTTTGAAAAATACATTTTTTTATTTAAAAAACGAAAAAGAATTCATAGATTTAGCTAAAATAATAATCACGCTATTTTTGAAATTGATTGAATTAAAATAAATAGTTACCATTAGTACCGTCGTCATCTGTTAAAATATAATTTATATAATTATTAGCTTTTTCATCTTATCTTAGATTTGGAGGAAAACTTTTAAAGAATAAAAAAATTTATAAAATTCTTGTATTGTGAGAATTTTATAAAAAAATAGTATATAAATGCTTATAATATATTTGTACAATATTAGGAAAAAAATCTTAAAATATATTATTACTCATATGCACGAATAAAGTTAATTACTAACTACATTTAATTAATAATTTATTTTAATTATTTTAATCTTACGCAGAGTGGAATCTGAGGCAACCGACAAGGAAACGATGCACATAACAAAACACAAAACAAAAATGATGTTGAAGTATTTCATTTTGAATTTTCTGCAAAATTATACACAAATAATAAATTAAATTATAAATACAAATTAATCAGTTTATCATAAATCATATTTTATTTCTGTCAAAATTAATACAATATTTAATATAAATTGTAATCTCTTTTAGCTAAATATATTTTATATATATCACCTAAAAATTACTTTTTGAATTATCTCTTATAACTTAATAGCAACTTAGTGATATTTACTTTTTCATGCTGTAATACAATTGGAGCGTGAGTATATCTATCCTGTCACTCACCTTTAAACAACCTTAAATGCTAATATCTTTAAAAAACTAATACTACATAACTTTGAAATTGCTGTTTACTCAGTTATATTCGGTTAATTAATAATTTTAGTAATAGTAATATTTAACCAAATTGTATTTTAGTAATTGTGTTTTCGAAATCGAAAATATTTCTAAGAGATTTATAATAAAAATTACTTACTTGGTATAGGCTACTAAATTGTCTGTATTGAGTAAAACGCAAGTAACTGTAATAAAAAACGAATACTAATGACCCCTTTTATATTGCTATAGAGTAAATAAATGAATTAATTTTAGTGTATTGAAAATAGAATCCAAAACACTTGTTTAAATCATATTTTAGATATAATGAAATTTATTGCAAAAATGGACATGTACCTTAAAATAATATTAATATAAAATTAATTTCAATTCTTTTATGTTTACATTTATTTTAAAATCTATTGGCGGTTATGTATCACATGATATTTAATAAAAAATAACTATTATTTAATTTATTATTTCAAATTTTCTAATTTCAATATTACAATAAATCACAATGATTTATCACAATTCATAAATAACCTAAGAATAAATTCATAACACATTTTCATTATAATTACAAAAATACAAAGACTTATACATTTTAAATCCTTTAATAATATTATATATAAATATACGAATGGAACATTGAATACCGTAGTAGTTCTTTTTGTATGTATGTTTTGGAAAGATGGTCCATTTTAGTTTAGTTGACAATGTTGGAGCAAGTAAAAAATTGTTTATTTTGCTCGTTAAATATTTTATAACCATTAATTGACCAATTTTTCGTAAATCAACTCGTATATATTAAAAATCATAGCAATACGTAAATTTAAAGTTTTGGTATTCTAAAAAAAAAAAATAGTTAACATTTCTTCAAATTAAAAATAATTTAAATAAAAATCAATTAAAAATCAATTATCCTCAAATTACTCCTAATATAAGTAATTGAGACTATAAGTTGAGTAATAAATGGATCGAATTTTTGAATACATACATCTAAATAGTTAGATTAAATAAATCTCAGTTGTTACCTAAGAGTTGTATTTCGTTCCTATACCCCTTCAATAATAAGATATAAAATTTCATCAAGGTAATAAAAAAAAAATAATAATCACATATTATATTACCTTATTTTGGCAATACAAAATTTAGTGGCCAACAATAAATTAACCATCTTATTTTATTTATAATTTCTTGATTTATTAGCCAACAATTAATTTTTAGAACCAAATTATATTAAATAATAGGTAAAGATATCGTGCATCTATAAAAAATAAATTATATCGATTTGGTCATTTTTGAAAAAGTTATGGCAGTTTTATGGAAAAAAAAATTGGAAAAATGTCAAAAATTAGCGATTATTAAATTCTCTTTTATATACACTCAAATTTTATATAACTCAAAAATTTGAAATTTTAAATGATTATATCTAATAAACGAATTAAGTTATATTAATAATTTAAATGCCATTTAATATTAAATTAAAAACTCAAACATTTTATTAAATTAAAAATATGTGTTACCATTTAAAAAAACAAAGTTGACACCCTTACCAGGCATAAGGGATGATCTTAAGAAGTATTACATAGTTAATAATTTAAGAATAATGTGTAACTAAAGATAGTAATAAAAAAAAAATTTTAAATTATTATTATTCTGTATGTAATTGATTGGGTTATGATAAAAAAATCACCCTGTATGTCTTAAATTAAAGCTAATGTAATATACTTTAATTTGAAAAAAAAAATTTGACCTCTAGATTCATCTTTACGGCGAAAATGGCTACTGAATGCTATTTTCGTTTGAAAATTCTCGATTTTATTATTTATATTATATTTAACTTTATAATGCTATAACTTATTGAAAAGTTTATGGATCCACACAATTTTTTTATGAGAAATAATATATTTTAATAAACCCTTTTTCATTCGACATACTTTATCTTAATCAGGATATTACTAAGGAACCAACAGATCAAGTAGCTTTTGGAATAAAACACCAATTTTTTAAAATTAAACACTATCTAAAGATTTGCATCGAAGCGTTTATATTTGATAGTGATTTTAATCACTGTCAGATATCATTGTACTTGATACAACTATGCCACGTCACCACTGTGCCGCGACCCCCCTGTGATGGGTTTTTAACTTTATTATGCTATAACTTCTTGAAAAATATATGGATTAGTACAATTTTTTTATGAGAAGTAGTATTTATATACATCTTTCATTCGAAATACTATTTTTTTAAATAGGACTATTTCCCTATATACGAAGGGATTTAAAATCTAAAAAATGCATTCAAAAATTAGAACTTTTTCAACTTAACTTTTGAAAGTGTTCCAAAAAGTCTGACACTTTTATATATATCTTAAATTAAAGCTAATGTAATATACTTTATTATGAAAAAAAAATTTGACCTCTGAATTTGTCATCGTGGTGAAAATAGACATCACATTTAAAAAAAAAAATACGATTTTTGTAAAATAATTTTTTTTTATATTTTTAACTTGCCACGTCACCACTGTACTGCAACCCCCTTGTGCTGGGTTTTTTTTTCTAAAAATTACTATGACTTCTTGAAAAATGAACAAATTAAAATAATATGTATTTTTATCGAAACATTAGATATTTTCCTTTTATTTTATATAATTTTTTTGAAAATCTGACCCTTGACCTGCCCACAGTGGGAATTCAAATTCGCAACGTCTGCACAAATATTTAACTTTTGCAACTTAAGTTTTGAAAATGTTCCGGAAATACTCCAAGATTCAAACATAAGTTAAAATAAAGTTAATTTTATGCACTATAAGTTAAAAAAAAATGTTGTCCCGACGACTTATCTTTTATGTGTAGATGGTTGCCGTTGTTAAAAAACATGCAATTTTAGTATTAAAATTTACGATTTTAGATTTTATTAGTTAAACTTTTTAACTAATATTTGGTTTTGAATACAGAAGTCCTTATTTTTAATTTAAACTAATTTTAATTGTCTAAGATATGACATGTAAGATAGCAATAATAATTTACGACACACTAATTGAGAGATAATAGTAATCGATTCAAATCAAACTATATTATTATTAGAACAGTCTATTGGTTTGTAAGACAAACTGTAATACAGAAGAACAAATTACTTTGAAAAATCCACTCTACGCGTAGTATAGTGACTCTTAAAATAATCTAATACTATTAAAAGTTGTAGTATTACCTCATAAACTGACTTAAGTTAAATTAATTTATCTTACAATATAGAAAATGAGTGACTCCTGATTCAAAACAGTAAAATAATAATAGAAATTTGGCCTAAAATCATTTAACTTAAACAAGCTGTAACAGACGAAGGGTTGATCGAAAATAAACAATTAGAAGGGCAAAATTGTTTGTATTTTTATTATAAATAATAAAAATAAATTCAAAATAGTGATTCCCAATTAAGAAAATTCAAGTTAATGTTTTATAACCTTGTAGAGATGAAAAAATGATGTTTTTACTACATATTATTGTAGAGTTTTTTAATCAAACATATTTATCTTGCCAAAAATTAAAAATTTTCAATAGTTACAACGAAAATGAGTGTCTTATCATTAATGAATCACTCTGTTTATAAAATGTTTATATCGAATGAAAAAAATATTAAAATAAAGTCCGAAATTTTTTTTTTCCATAATAAAGTACATTACATAAGCTTTAATTTAATATATATATAAAAGTGTCAGTATTTCCAGAACACTTTCAAAATTTAAGTTGAAAAAGTTAATTTTTTGTGAAAAAGTTGTCATTTTAAATCCTCCCCCTGTGGGCAGGTCTAGGGTCAGATTTATAAAAAAAATATACCAAATAATAAATAAAGACATCAAGCATCTATAAAAAAAAAAATTATATTGATATGTTCATTTTTGAAAAAGTTATGGCAGTTTTAAGTAAAAGAAAATTGAAAAAATGTTAAATATTAGCGATTTTTAAATTTGTAATTTTTTTGGAGGTTTCCCCCATTTACAAGATACGCGGTCAAATTTTTCAATTTTTGAAGATAATATACTCAACTAGATATGATTTGTGATCATTTGCCGTATTGTCGAGAAAAATTGGTCCTATGAGAGCTGAAAAATGTAATAACAGACAAATAAAAAAAAAAAACACATCATGGTAAAATTAATATCTTATCATGTTCGCGTATGAAGAAAGAGGTATTAAGGGGACATACATATTTAATTATCGTATGAAACAATAAATTAATTAATTATGAAAATTTCAGGTCGATAAAAACTTTTAGACAAGTAGTTAAGATGTTGTCCTCATTTTTATACTTAGAGGGAACAAATATTATGACCAGGAAATGTTTATTGCTAAAAGTAACAGCGCCCTCTCTTTATCTCTTTATCATTTACGGAAACGAATTTAGAATCCCCCTGTGACCAGATAAAGAGTCATAATCTTTATCTATCAAATAATAGTTAAAAATATTATGCATCTATAAAAAAAAATACAGAATGGAACATTTTATACTTTTTTTTTTTTATCAATTTTACAATATAAAACTATATTTAAAATATGTTTTATGTTATCTTTTACAATTACAAAAATATTTATAAAATTATTTTTTTATTAAAATTTCTTTTAAGATTTGAAAATAGTCATTTTATAGATAATAATTAAAGAAAAATTTTGATACCACAAAACTCTTAATACCTTCTCAGCTTTGCATCGAAACTAAAACCAAATCTTCGAATAGAATTATGTATCAATAAATATCATTTTTCGTCTTATCTCAATTCTATATTTAATAATATATATTATTATATTAATACAAAAAATACTAATAAGATAATTACAAACTGTTTTTTGCTGAATATCAAATAATATATATTTAATAACAAAATGATCAAAATTCAAACAGTTTTTTTAGCTTCGATGCGAACCTGAGAAGATATTAATTTTACTATGATGTGTTTTTTTATTTTAATTTTTGTGTCTGTTAACACTTTTTCTCAACTCTCACCGAACCGATTTCTTTTAACGATACGTCAAAATATCATTAATCGTATCTAGTCGAAGACATTACCCTCAAAAATTGAAAAAATTCTCTCGTTTCCTGTAAATGAGGGAAAGCCCCAAAAAAATTACAAATTTAATAATCGCTAATTTTTGACATTTTTCCAATTTTTTTTTACATAAAACTGCCATAACTTTTTCAAAAATGACCAAATCGATATAATTTATTTTTTATGGATGCACGATATCTTTACCTATCATTTAATATAATTTTTTATAAATCTGACCTTTTACCTGCCCACAG